TTATTTCACTCTGGATAAGAGAAAAATTATAGTCCTTGATAAGAGACAATGTATTATTTTGTTTGTAATGTCATTTGTGTTCTGCTTCTTGATCCACATTGCTTTGCTTTGCCAGCATTCATAGATTTTCACTGTTCAGGGTAATTAACAAAGCACTTTAAAGTTGACTTACCTCCAGCATCTGTTTAGTTTTCTGAGCTGCTTCATCATTCTCTGCTCTTACACGCAGGTCATCCTGGTAGTCCTTGCAATTCATGTCTTTGTGGATGGCCTGAAAAAATATACGTCCTTTACATCTGGTGCCCTCTCTATTACACGAAATGAAACTTTGTTCAGTTAAGGTATTAAAGTAACACAGGTACCCTGCAGAGAATGCAGTTGGTTTCGTCGCAGAGTTCACAGTGAAATTCATTGACTTCATCCTCATAGATGCACCACCCACGACAGTTGGGAGTCTGACAGTGGAAGCTGTGCTCTGAGCGGCTCTCTGCAATGCTCAGACGCAACTCCAGAAACCGCTGGTGTTCCTCTTCCGTGAGCAGCTGGACCCAGGATTATACCATAAACAATAACAGAGACATATGAAGAGTAAGAGATTACATGCTGTATGGCTGTCAACATATTTGCTTCTCTTAAAGTTATTGTCTGTCTTATTTTTTGGGAAAGGTGATGTATGACTGTCAAACACAGACCATGTGAAGGTTAAGGTTGTGTCCCCGTGGCTTCCACTCACCTCTTTGATCTCTCGGTCCAGTAATTTGCTGTCACAGTTGTCAGGACAGGACACCTCAGCATCTTGACTGTTTACTATTGTCCCTTTTAGACACTCCCTGAGTAATCACATACACTTCATTATATACATAAAATATTAAGCACAATGCACATTTTGCATACACTGACTCTTATTATTCAAAACGAGCATACATTTAATCCCATATGAAACACTGCATATGCATAAAGTTGATATACGCAAAAAAAATGACACATATAGTTAAAATTATAGGAGAAGAAGCTGAAGAAGAAGACATGGCTCAAAAGATGCTTGAGGGGTACGGAATAAATTAGCTAAAGATTTAAATCCCACTGAAATGTTGTGAGTGAGCCAGGCAGTACATGCAAGAAAACTCACCACCGTAGCCCATCTTGCCGAGCTGGCAGCCCATATGAGAAAGACTATCGCAGGGGCCTAGTT